TATAAGGTCAGTGCATTTTATTTTTTTATTTTTTTGTTTATTGCAAAGTGAAGTGTGAAAATGATTTTTGACTGCATCAGTAAGTATTTATTAAATTATGAATATGAATTAATTTAATTTTAGATAAAATGTGTTATTTCTCAAATCCTTTTTTTATAATTTGTAGAAAACAAGACTGTTATGTACCACACAATTTAAAAGTAAATTTTGAAATTTAAAATTATATTCAAATTTATTTATTGCGATTCAAAAGACAAACTTTTTAAAAACTTGTAATATTGTTAGATAATGTCTCAATATCAACAAAATTTATTTTAAAACCATCAATAATAATAACTTAATTAATTATAATTCATTAAGTTGCGAGGCGGAAGATCTGCAGTTACGCTAGATTGTTTTTTTATATTAATCTCTTTTCAAACAACTTATCAGCAATATATCCGTTATGATGAATCTTGCCTGACTGCATGTCTAAACCGCCGGGTCAGTGGAGTGTAAAAGTTGTGGAAATTATTTGTCAGAAAATTAAGTCTTCAAATAATTATCTGCTAAATGGTTTCTTCTTCTTTTGCCGGGYCAACTAATAATAATAAAATAAGTGAGTTCCTGTTGTTTTTTCAAGTGCTTAATAGACATTTAGTAGTGCGCGATTTTAAAATTTCGAGTTTCTAGTGAGTGCCAATGGGGGAAATGGAGAAGGGAATCGTGCTTCATGGGTCCGGATTAAAGGGTAAGTCAACAATAGCTTTTAATTTTTTAGAAAAATTTTACTTATTAAATTGTATTTAATATTTTCAACTAATTTAATAACACRTTAARCTGATTTTGTGTTTCTTTATTTTCAGTAGGTCCGTGTAAGAAGAAGAGGCAAATTGCTACAAAGGGTAGCAGAAGAAGATGCCATAAAGGTTAGTGCATTTAATTTTTTTAATTTTTTTTTTGTTTATTGCAAAGTGAAGTGTGAGAATTTGTGATTTTTGTTTGCAACAGTAAGTATTTACTAAATTATGATAAAGAATTAATTGTGTTTTAGATAAAAAGTATTATTTGTCAAATTTAATTTCAAAATTTGTAGAAGGCGAGTTCAAATTTACTTTGGATTTTTTACGTATTAAAGAAACATTGACAGGAAGAAAATCAAGTATTGTGCGAATTTAATTTGTTTCCAGAATATATGGTTAATTTTTGTTTTGTTTCAGGAACTTCAATGACCAGTGAATGCGTGTTGTGTATTTTCGAGTGCTTAATATTACATTTAGTATTATTGTTATTATTTAGTGTTATTGAACTATTAATATGAATTAATTGTGTTTTAGATAAAAACTTGTAATATTGTTAGAAAATGTCTCAATATCAACAAAATTTATTTTAATAACAACAATAAAAATAACTTAATTAATAATAATTCATTAAGTTGCGAGGCGGAAGATCTGCAGTGACGCTAGATTGTTTTTTTTTACATTAATCTTATTTCAAACAATTTATCAACAATAATACCCGTAGTGGTGAATCTTGTCTGTCTGCATATCTAAACCGCCGGGTCAGTGGAGTGTAAAAGTTGTGGAAATTATTTGTCAGAAAATGAAAATAATTATCTGGCAAATGGTTTCTTCTTCTTTTGCCGGGTCAAATAATAATAATAAAATAAGTGAAGTGAGGTGTGTCACTTTGTAATTTTTACAATAAAAAGAATTTACAAAAAAAAGTCTAAAATAAATGGTGCGCGAATGTGAATTGGTAGCACTGCATTCCCAAAAATTACAACCGTCAATCTTAAACTCAGCGAAGCAGGACAATTTCAAATTCTAAGTTGTATTAATGCAATAATTGGTTCATTAGAAACACTTAATCGATTCTTTAATCGATATTTTGTTTTTAAATTAGCGCTGGTGACGATTGTATTACCATAATTCAAAAACACCAACCTGACACAACAAAGACTATTTGATAAAAACAAATAAATAAACCAAATAGTTGTTTAGCACTCCTACCACTGATTTGCATTTTTCTACACTGACGACTGACGTGTGTTTCCTTTATTATTTTAAATGCTACCCACAAAGTACCCTTTAAAAATTAAGCATTTAAAGGTGAAAAATAAAGGGGGTATTTAAAATTTTAACAGGAAAGATACATACACAATAGCATCGAAATATTAAATGTGATTTAAAATTTTAAACACCCTTTAAAATTGTTTGTATGTTTACAGAATAGGCCCTATTATGTGTTAATTTTCCGTTTAAATAAAAATTGTATTTAATTGTTCTTTATCAGCCAAATTTTATATCATTTTGTTCGTCTCAGTGAGAGAAATCAAATACACTAAAAAAAAATTAAAAAGTCCACACACTTTGAACTAATTAATTTTTTTCTAATTTAAATGAATTTAAAATACTTTAACTTTAAAAAATCATTGCTCAATAACTATTAGGCCGATTTCCTTCAAATAAAGACCATTAAAGGGATGGCTTTGCCCTTTAGGATGATATGAAATTTGAAATTGAATATTGGCAAACTTTTCTTCGAACAGTGTTCGAAGAAGTTCGAAGCAAATCGAAATAATCTAAGAAAAACCCTACGAGTCAATTTTTTTTTCATCATTACCATCGTGTAGAGCATCTTTTTATTAGTTGTAATCCAAATTTTCAAAAGAATTTTTGAAGTTAAGGTTTGCTAATTAAGCATTGCTCCATATAGGAGAAATGCATGTTAATCTTACATAAAATTGCATTTTTATAAAAGTATTTGTTTTAAGAATCTTCTTGTGCTTAAAAATGGTCAATTGCACCTTCTTTGTTCTAATTAGAATAAACAAAAGTTGTCACGACATGACTTTTTTTTGTCGCCTTGTGTAATACCAAACAAAAAATAGCAAGTAGCCTTTTCAAACTTTCAAACCATCAACTTCCCTACTTTTTTCACTCATCCTCCGGCCGTCGCAAGTGGGACGATAGTATGAAGCGCTTGGACGTTCTTCCGATCGCAATCTATTGTAAGCACTAAACCAGCAAAACTATAAATTTACACCACATAAACATTATATTAACAGTTTTCAAGAAAAACAGTATTTTATTGTATACAGGGTGAATACACGGAATTTTGGACGATTTGTCATTTGACTGGCATAAAAATATAAAACGGGCCTTAGGCACTAACCTCACTTTCGGTTTTTGTAATTTTTATTCTTATAGCTAGAGAAAAAATGACAAAAAAATCAAAATAATTTATTGAACTTATATTAAAACACATATTGCTGGCATTATTGTTTCGGAAAATCGACGCCAAAAATAAATTTCAACTAAAACTTTCAAATCTTAATTTCAGACGTCAATCATAATCACAATAAATCGTGGCTTACATTGACACTTTTTGAATTGACATAAATTTGATGTCCAAAATTCCGTGTCCGCCACTGTATTGGCGAAAATTATTCTTGACATTATTTCGTAAAAGAGCACCTAAGAGCAGAATCTGAGCAGGGCCGCCACAAGCGGGGGTGCAAGGCGTGCGACGCACGCGGGCGCCAAGGTTAAGGGGGCGCCAAAACGGTAACAAAATTTAATAAAAAAAAGACATTTTGAATTTTGCAATGAAAAAAAAAAAACTGCAAGAGAAATACAATCAAACAAAAAAAAACAAAACGTTATGTGAAAAAACTAGTCATGTGGCCGTTTCCTGTTATAGAGATTAGAGTTCGAACACTGTAAGATGTACCTACATACACCGTGAGCCATTCAAACGGCTTGTTGGATTTAAATGACTCAAGGTGTTCTTACAATATTCGAACTATTATTGCGCCGCCAAGTTCACTGAATCTGGACTTCTGAATAAAACAAATTTTATATAATTTCCTAGAACTTTTGGGTTAAAAAAATACACATACTAAGATCGCATCCAATTTCCTATTTTCTTTTATTAGTTTGCTTTATTACTTAGTGGATTTGTGATAAGTGCTAGTCGAAAATTTGTTTTTAAATTAGTGATTTTTGTGGAAGTATTACAATTAAACAAATATCTTGGTACCATTTTTTTAAAATTTTTAATCCTATTTTAATTTTACGTTTAGATGAAAGCTTTGAAAACGTAATGACTGAAGCAAACAAAAATGCTGACGAACTTAATGTGGAACCAAATTTTCCGATGATGCAAACTGTACGCCCAAAAGGCAAGCCAAAACTTTTTGATTACGAACATCAAGACGAAGTTGTGCTAGATGCAAAAAATAATTTCAAAACTAACTTATCTACAGGATTTTGAATCAAGTTTTGCCTTCTTTAAATAATAGGTTTGAAAAACTAAATACATTTAATGATACATTTGGAGTTATTGACAATATGTTTAATTCTTCGCAAGAAGAATTATTAAAAAACTTCAAAGACTTTTAAAGCTTTAAAAATACATTTCATCGAACAAACTAGCAAGAACCTTAAAATCTTTTACAATATCTTTTTGAAAATAATTTAATTTTTACTTTCCCTAATATAGCAATTACATTAAGAATTTTACTTTCCTTGCCAGTTTCAGTTTTGTCTGGCGAAAGACCTTTTCTAAATTAAAAATCATTAAAAATTATTTAAGATTCACCATGGTTCAGTTTAGGTTAAGCAACTTATCTTTTATTTGCAATTACAGAGTTTGCAAGTATGAAAGTAAAGAAAATACAATTTCTTTAAGGATTTATAGTTTCTATGATGTTATGTTTTATTTTCTTATTTGCGTTTTTAAAATCACAAATTTAATTAATTTTGATTAAATAATTTTTTGTTATTTTGTTTTATTTATTGGCACTTATATATTTTTAGGTATCATACCTATGTAATAAAATAAGTATACCCATATTTTCTTAACAAATTATCAAGGGGCGTCAAATTCAAATGTGCACGCGGGCGTCAAAACCTCTAGCGGCGGCCCTGAATCTGAGTAATGAAAAATAAACTCTAAACGTTCTAGTTTCATACTATAAAGACAGTTTTTTAGGCCATATTGGGCGATTTTTGTAATTCACTTCCAATTTTTTTTTAATTTTGAACAAAAAATTTAACGGATGACTGAAACCTTAATTTTTTTAAATTAACTTATCCTAATAAGGTTCACTTATTTCCCAATAAAAGAATTTTGTAATTGGAGACACCCTTACAAAATTAAATAAAAATTTCAAATCAATGTGTTTTGAAAAACGTTTATTTCAGTGGGCTTTTTTGATTTAACTCTAATTTTCCAAATAATTTGAGCAAAGACTATGTAAACTGAAAGTATAAAGAATAAAGTAAGAGCAAAAAAGAAGACAAATTTAATTATTAGAAAATGATCCTATGTCCATTAAATGCCTTGATTCGTTCCACTGTGCGTCGTCCCGACATACCTCTCGTTGCAAGAGGCTAATGTTTTACGTCTGCCGACCACAGACATGTCCAAAACCGTACCCAAAATAGTTCCACGCTTGTCCAACCATCGTTTGGTCTTACGTTCCGCAGGCAGAGGCGCGCTATCTCATCCACTCATCTTCAAAACATCCACACGCCCTGAACTTTCTTACCGCAGCCGATCGTTCAAGTTTTGTCTCTCGAAAGCAGTTTTCATGCGGAGCCTTCTACCAGGTCCACTTCTCGTAGTATCCCCGCTACATTCCTGTAGTAGCGTAGTAGTAAAGTGTTTGCGTACGCACTCAGTAAAATCGAGCACTAGGAACAGTTGATACGTAATTCGGTCCAGAAAGAAGCAAACAAGTGCCGGCTTTTTTTCAAAAAATGACTCTTTAGATTTCGGTAATAGGTGATGTGTTTGTGGTAACTTTGTGGCCATTTGAAGGTACAGTCGGGGCGGACGCCCGAGACCACTTCGGAGACGATACAAGTAAGTAGATCTTTGGTTTTGCGGTGATTCGAACTGTATGCACTTCTGGGGATTCGGCCCGTGACAACTCGACCACATCCATTATTTCAAATCACATAATACGTCATAATGTTTATCATTTGGCTCTTATCTGTTTGTACAAAAATCAGAAATGTTAGTATTGGATTCTCAGACTAGTGCTTTCCGATTTTCGAGTGTTCAGGTATACAAGTTAGGGTTTCGGCGTAGGTAAAGCCTCCGAATCGTGATTATGAGATAGCCTCGTCTGAGAGGACTGACGGATAAAATATCTTGCAGCGTGGGCTCATTACATATTGCAGGTATTTTTAACCCGGGAAGTAACCTGTTTCTGACATAACGGCTGTTGGGCGACAAGTTAAGCACAAAAATAAAACTGAATGAGACAAGTAAACTATGCAAATGTGCTGTTTAATAAAAATCACACAAATAAATTACGAGCGTGTTGGCAAGAAGAAGTGGCAGAGCTTGGGTGAAGGTATTTACGGTGGCGCCAATGACCTCTCCTGTATTTATGCAAGCGCCTGTGTTTTTCATTTGCATGCTTGTTCACTATTCGACTGAGTATGTGGAAATAGACTGACTTACTTGCCCCCGACTAGATAATTAAACCCACGTTGCAGGATCCAAGCCAGAAAGTGACCCATTACCGATCCTCGTAAAACACACATAAACGACGTAATTAGACTACCATTATTTTGTTGATGACGGGTTTTTACAAGAGTTTATTGGATTCCAGATGCTGCACGATGTGTGGATGGCTAGCAGAAGATTAAATTGTACGATGTCTATTTTCTGCTACTGAAACTAATTAGAATATTTGACTAACTAAATCTTTTAATTAAATCTTAGTGAGTTTGACGATGTTCATGCAACTTGCATGAATCTGTGGAAAGGAATTTGGAGAAATTAAATATTTTCTTGTATCAAGCCAAAATTCTGACTACATATTTTTGTTTGTTTTGGTTTTGTGTACTTAGTGATTTTTGTCCTAATTTTTAAATGCCTATTCTATAACTTACCGTTCGACATTTTAAATTCTATAACTGGATTTTTAATTTCAAATTAACAGGTTAGTCAAATTACACGTCTAACAGTTTTAATTAATTGTCACACACAAAATTTATTGATGGAAACAAATAAGTGCAATATTATGTGCAAACATACTTCTCACTACAAAATTTTTCATGAAATAGCCTCGGAAAAAGATTTTCTGTGGAAACTAGGTACAACCTAAAGCTGTTAAAAGAAAAACAATAATTTTTTGGAACGAGTTTAGTTTAAAATTTATCAAAAATTGTCCTTTTTAAACCTCTTTTTTTCAAATCAAATAATAATTATAAAAATTTATTTAGATGAAGAAAAGTTGAAAGTTTTTTTATGTCGGTATTTTTATTAGGTAAAATAATTATTGTTAACTTTTTCTTGTGTTTTTTGATCGTCAAGGAACACGATTATAATTTAAAAAAAGAATTAAAAAATACACATTGTACCCACTCCAATAAACAGTTTTTTTTTGTATTTTTGTAGTTTTTAAAGTGAAATGGAAAGTAACTTTTTCCAGAATCCGTAATCGAGCTAGGAATCATGTTCATTAATCGAAAATTAACCCTTAGAAATCGCTAAGCTAAGGAGCAATATCTGCGAAATATCTATCTACCGATATGTCCTGTAAATACAGTGTGTACACCAAAAAACCCCAAAAAGATTGTGAATAAAACACATAATATTAACGAATGCATTTATTATCTACATACAGGGTACCCCAGAGAAAAATGCCATATAAGGTAAGGTACCAGGAACATGGAAAAAATGTTAAAAAAAATATCTATAAAAATTTCCAAGTTATGAGGGTTTAAAGTTTGCTCTTTGACTCTATTTATTTCTGTTGGAAAAATAATTTTTCAAGTTTTTTTGCTATAGGCTATTAAAAGAGGAAACAAGGAAGCTGTATTCGAAATTGTAACTCTGTTCAATGTTATTTGTGGCTTTTATTGGCACAATTTTTGTCTCTTTACTAAATAATTGTAAAAAAAACATATACAAGATCATCAGTATCATTAAATAGATATAAAAAATGTCAAATGTCAAATAATACATGTCAAAATTTTTTGACAGATAGAATTTTTTAAACATTTTTTTCATGTTCCTGGTATCTTACCTTACTTGAAAATTTTCTCTGGGGCGCGAGTTCTGGCGCACCCTGTATATACCAAAATAATGAAAAAACAATGAAAAACAATTATAAAATAAAAATAGTTTCTTTTTACTTACAGTAACGTGGTCCAGTGATTTATTTTAATCACGAATTATAAATAGAAAATCAAGGATTTAAATAGAAACTACACAATTTATCAATCACATAATCACATCAGTTTGCTTTATATTCTGTAGTGTTTAATTTTTTTGTTGACTCAATTACTAAAATGATTTATTTTAATGGCTTTTTTATTCAGTGGGTAGATAAACCGAGTGTAATAAATTTTATTAACTTTACACGAATGCTGAAAGTGTAGTGTATTTTTGCCAAATAATATGGTAATGTAATTATAATAATCAATGCGAGAAAGAACCCGAACTAGAACTAGCAAGTTTGATCAAGTACGAGTTCCTGTACAATCCTGCAAAAGCTTGCATTGCAGCAGCAGAGCTTCCGTGGTTTGGTTTCAGGATGTCATGAGCCACGGTATAATTATTACTCACTTAAATTACTCACTGGTTTAAAACTAAAATGCACAAAGGTATGAGTCAGACGGGTGTTCAGAAATGTGCGTCGCAGTCGAAGTAAATTGCTTCTCTGTAGTCTGTTGCGGGGTGAAGCACTTCTTCGCCATTATAGTGCATTACAAAGAAATTAATAAGATCAATAACATTTCTAGCAACAATATTTAATTTGTATTCAGCGGCCGGCGCGCAGACGGTGGACAATGGTGCCCGTATTAGTCCGTATATTTTATAATGTTTTGTTTGTCGTCCGTGATTTGAATCAATTGGTCACTTGTCCGCAGAGAAATTTATGGAATGGACAATCAATTTACTTGCGAGTATCACCCATTAAAACTGAATTCATGCATTTATATTCACTTAATGAGGAAAAATTTAGACCGGTATGTTAAATTCCCGGCACAAAAACAACATAATGATTGCGAAAGCAGATATATTAGGCTTTTGTGGAGCTCAGAAGCTGTGTACATTTACGGTGCACGCTTATTATATCATAATTAGTTCGGAAATTAAAATGCTGATGGTACATTAGAGGAAGATAACGTCGTTACCATTTACGGGAAACTTTCGGTGTCTCTTACACTCCACATTACCATAATTAAATAATCGGCCTTTGCTAATGTTCTGTACCCTAACTTTGTCAGAGGGTTTTCATTCTGCCAAACGACATTTTTGTTTAATGGAAAGCAAACATGAAACAAAGAATATTTTGGATTAAGTTGCTTTGTGTAGTGTTTAGTGTTTACGCGTGTTGTTTATAAATAACAGCAATTTTCGAAACTTGATCTGTTGAAATGTAATCTGAAAACGGTTTATGTTATTGCTTTTACTACCAGTGGCGGATTGTCAAGGAAGCAAATTCACTTTTAAAGTCTCAGATGCGCTAGTTTTTAATTCAGACCGGTTGAGGTATTGTATTAAAATCATCGCAGTTAAATTTTAATTAATGATTGGTATATGTATCATCAGACCTGACTTAATATTAGGTGGCGAAATTGTGTTGCTTGATATACCAATGTTTGTAAATTTGGTTATTATAAGACAGAAGAAATAAATAACTCGGGAAAATTGCAAATCATATTTGAAAATGTTTCGTATCTACATATATCATTTCTAAACATTGTAACACACCTTTTTAGTACAAAAAGAATGTTCAACCACTTTAAGAATTATACAAAATTCGTACAAGTCAGATTTTTATTAAATAATTAACAAGTGATGTGAAGTTATAAAAAATTTCTCAAATAAAGTATTCTTGTTTGATATATACGTTACCTGCTTTTTAAGCTTACAAATTCACGATTCACCACTGTTTACTACATAATACAATGTTATATTGTGCTAGAAGTCATATTTGTGGAGCTAGACAAGAAGACGAGATTTGTCTATTGTGCAGTATTGCAACTATTAATATACTACACACACAGGGCAAGATTAGTTACTAAAATAAATAGATTGATAGGGATTACCACAATAATTTGAATTTGAATTAATTCAAATTCTATACTCCAGTTCTGGACAATATTTATATTTATAAATTACAGTCATATTCGCGCAAGTTTTTTTTAGTAGGGAATTTCCAGCTTTTTGCAAAAGTTGCCAAATTAAACAGCACAAGAAAACACTTTGCTAATTGGAATTGCCAAACTTAATTTATGGAATAAGTTAATAATTTATGAGATAAGTTTTCTGTCTAATTAGATTGATGTTTTGTGACACAACAAAAACGGTGGTTTGCTGCAATATAAAAACACCATGCATTCATTCAATTAAATTCAAAGTGATATCAAAATATCCTTGAAAATAAGTGTGCAACACTGAATAATGACAGAAGATATGAAAAGTTTTATTTATATCTTCTGTCATTTAATATTGGCAAATGAATTTCAAAGTCACAGGTTACTGGATCAGAAATTTAATTAATTGAACGGTTTTTAATTAATTGAACGGTAATTGGCGGTTTTTATATAAAACTTTTATTTAATTAATAAGATATCTTTGAGTTAAATCAGTTTTATCATCATAATTATTTTACAATCCGAATTTTTAGAAACGAAGAAACATTTTTTTTGATATTTTCGCTCGAACAAATTTTCAAGAATCAGTATCTAGACTAGATGAAAGGTCTTATAGTATTGGAAACATAATTTATTTTTTGGTTGAACACTTTTTCATGAGATTTTTTTTATACATTTTTTTTATGATTATACACTATGTTTATATTAGTTGGTTGTTTTTTACTTTTTATTTAGTATCAT